GTCGAGGCATAGCGTTGTCTTCTATATTCATGACACTGTTATAAAGCAAAAACGAAAATTTAGCTCTCTTTTTGATGTTGGAGATTTAGATGTATCGGAGATTCTAGATAATACTCACCCGATCGTGGATAATGTTAAAAGACACAACAAAAAACCGCAAAAATATTCTCCCTTTAAGTTGAATTCTCAAAAATCTACAATAAAATTAAGAAATCATAGGCGGAGTCATCTTGGTAAGGGTCTATTATAGGTGGACAAGATTTATAAATTAATATATATTATTTATCTGTCAATTCATAGATTTGGAACCCGCAAGAAGAGGCTTACCAGCGCAGTATAGGAAATAACGCATCTAATAAGTTTTTAATTACGATTCACTATACCTTGTATATATCATGTAAATATACTGTATCAATAATAATTGGTTAAATAAAGGGATTTTCATGTATAAATATATCAGTGAGGCATAATTCGCTTATTGTGGGTATATCATGTATCAATTATGGTCTTGCAATTTTTTTTTATTTGAATATATTCGTTTCTATTAATGCTTTAACTGGGATTTTTCCTTCGACTAAACAGTGTACGCGCATATTAAGTATATTTAATGATGTATATTATAATCGAAAAAGATTACCAATAATTAATTATCTGCCTAAAGCCCTTGCCACGATAGATATAATCCTTGATCAATGGCTCGAGCAAGACTATTTAATAAATTAATTCGTTCTAAGTTAGTTGGACCTGATGCTTCTCTGATATAATCTCTTAAGGATCTGGAATAAGTGGAGGTAGATCAGAATCCGAGAATTCATCGTCGGAATAATCTGGATGTTTAATTTTAATTTTTGAATTGAGTTTCTTTATCACTTCTTCGCTAATCCCTTTACATCCCTCCAAACTAAGATATTTCAAATTATTACAGTTGCGGGCTATTTCCTCAATAGCTTTATTATTATTACTAATCGAACAATCGCCAAGCTCAAGATGTCTAAGTTTTGGGCATGAACGCGTTATTTCAATGATACATCGATTAGTGAGACATATACATGAATTAAGACTCAGATGCAGTAGCTTCGGACAATATTTTGCAATTTTTATAATTGGTATGTTAGAAAAACCATCACTTCGATCAAGAATGAGAGTGCGTATATTTGAGCATGAGCGTAGAATTGCACGAATCAATACATTTGAGATTTTTAAACCTTCTAACCTGAGATATACCATCTTTGAACAATAGAGTGGCTTTATTTTTCTACATATAACTCTTT